GCTTGAGGACTGAAAAAACCCCAAGATTTTTATGAACAAATTGTTCTTTTTCATTTCACTATGACTCTGATACACGTCTGCTAACAGCAAAACCAGCGCGCTAATTCCGATCCAGAAGTTGTGCCTTTTCCCAACGACCACTTTGGAGTTGATAAAGTATTGCGATAATTTACAAATGTGTTTGAAATTAACTTGTTCAGACGGACTTTGTTTGTGCATAACATTCACTAAGCCCGTCTGAAAGAGTTAATTTCAAACACTTTTGTAAATTATCGAGCTATTTTATTTCAGCTCTTATAATGTAAACAGTTGGTGCGGATGCAGACCACGGTTTTGCGAGTTCAAATTTCAAGGCAATAAAAATGAGGAATTCCTGTCTGGCAATATTTCCGCGACTACTTCCATTGTGCACTCTCAAAAACAAATTGTCCAAATACTTACTGGTTTCTTTACTTCTTGAACAAAAATCATTTGGATTCTTGTCGATATGGATAATACACTACGAAGTCACATTTATGGGCTTTTTTTATTTAGGTTCGACTGTTAGGTTGGACTGTTTTCTGACCGCAGTTTTTCGCAAGTATAAAACATCAAGTTCCCTGCTGTGATTCAGAACAGTAAAGATGTATTGATCATTCAAAATAATATTTCAGAGGAACTACAAATCGGTGTTTCACATTTTCGGTTTCCAAAAAAAAGTCTCTCAAAACCCGGACTCTTTATAACCTGGCCAATATTTTTGGCATGATCAAGCACACTCTTATTTTTTGCCTCCTTTTTTTCCTATTGACTTTATCGTTTAAATTTCCAAACATGAAATCCTAGTGCAATGTACTCATATTATTTCCGGATATCACTCAAACTCAATCAGAATGAAAAGTTATGCGGAAGTTGGTCACGGAAGAACGTATACAGGTATTGGGACATCTCAAAATGCCGGTCTTATATGTGTTATTATTTGTGGATATTCTCAGTGCCTTTGAACTCTGTTGTTCAACTGGCATTTTGCTATAGTTCACAGTGCGCCATTCCGGTTTCATCAAGTTACTATTAAGCATTGCAGGATAAAAGTATCACTGGTCAGAATAGACTAGAGGGCGCAAATACAAACGCACTGGATCATGATGATGCACACAGTTTTATACAAGTTCAATAGCTGGATGCATTTTGTAGAATTCATGGATAGATTTGATTTTTGGAGAACGCATTTGAGATAAATAGTCAACCCAAATTACATTTTCACTCTACAGACATTTTTTTGGCCGTATTGTATTTGTGGAATTCAGCTATGCCTCCCCACCAGACTCCAAGCTATCTCCTAGAGGATTTTTAATGACTCATATTTTTGTTGGTATTTGTTTCAGCCAGCAATCCGCTCAAGTGTTGAAGAGTGCTTCCGCGAGAGAATTCAAGAACTGTGCTTAGGTGAGTGTCTGTTAAAATTTTCTTCATTCAAGCATCAGAATAGAGCAGTGATTTGGTAGGAGACTGTTCCTTTTTTTCTATGCATTTAATATTTTTGATCAAAATTAGAAACCAGAAAACGTCATTCAATTACCTCTACGAAAAAAAATAATCCTGGCCATGATGGTTAGGCTTCTCAATTATCCCTTCTAAAAAAATATCCTCCAAGCCATAGTCTCCTCAATTATTCCTTCTAAAAATATCCTCCTAGCCATGATGGTTAGCCTCCTCAATGATCACATCTAAAAAATATCTTCCAAGCCGTGATGCTTTGTCTGTTCAATAATCTCGTCTAAAAAAAAATCCTCCAAGCCATGATGATTACTATCCTAAATTATTATCCATTCTAAAAAAAAAATAGCTTCCAAGCCGTGATGGTTTGTGCGTTCAATAATTTCTTCTAAAAAAATTCTCCCATTCATAATAGTTAGTTTCCTCAATTATCCCTTCTTAACAAATATCCTCCAAGCCATGATGGTTAGTCTCCTTAATTATCCCTTCTAAAACAATATCCTCCAAGCCACAATGGTTTTTATTTCAATAATCCCTTCCAAAAAATTCCTCCTAGCCATGATGTTTAGTCTCCTCAATTTTCCCTTCTAAAATATCCTCCTAGCCGTGGTGATTAGTCTCCTCAATTATCCCTTCTTAAATATATAATCCAAGCCATGATGGTTTTCATTTCAATAATCTCTATCAAAAAAAATCCTCCTTGCAGTGATGATTAGTCTCCACAATAATTATCCCTTTAGGAAAGATCCTCCTATCCATGATGGTTAGTCTCCTTAATAATTATCACATCTAAAACATATCCTCCTTGCCAGGATGAAAGTCTCCTCAATTATCCCTTCTAAAAAATATCCTCCTAGCCATGATGGTTAGTCTCCTCAATTATCCCTTCTCAATATATCCTCCAAGCCATGATGGTTAGTCTCCTCAATTATCCCTTCTAAAAAAAATATCCTCCAAGCCATGATGGTTTTCATTTCAATAATCCCTTCTAAAAGATACCTCCTTGTCATGAGTGTGAGTCTCCGCAATTATCCCTTCTAGAAAATATCCTCCAAGCCATGACACGGCAGCTCCACATGCATAGCGCGTACACACAAAAAGGTTCTGTAATGCGTTAGTGCTGTATTTGTGAACTCCAATGATGCCGGTGACGTCACACAACATGGCGCCGTCCACATGCAGTTACAGACTGCGCAATAGTCGTAGCCTTGATGCCATTTTGTGATTGGACAATTAACGACGTAGCCTTGACCAATGCGTTGGGCTTATCGATTCGCCGATAAAAAAAATCGCCGATAAGAAAATCCCTAATCAACTTGGCAAGGCATAATTGCGTGCACAAATCGATGCCTGTACGCTGCTAGTGAGAAAGTAACTTGTACCATACAGCAAGGCTATGTTTGTACATGTACGTACGCACGTACATGTACATACATCACACACGTACTCGTACAACAGCCATGCACACACAGTACTGTACATGTACATGTACATGTACATGCATGAGCTAGTCCGCGTTCGACAGGCCACGCGGCGCGTACATCCCCCACACGTACGTACGTACACCCACACGCAGAACATAGTAGGCCTACATTTACTGCCTTATTACACCATGCGTACAGTCCGTACTCACGTGTTTGTGCTTGCTGGTTGTGTTAGTACCAAACCGTTCGTACGCACAAGGGTCGGTGGTACGGTACACGCACGGACAAGGGTCGGTGGTACACGCACGTAGCCGCGTTGATTGTGGGTGCAGGGCCCGATTATCTCCCTTCGACAAAAAGCCGAGAGACCGCATTGAACAAGGCTATTAACGACGTTGCTTGCACATGTACGCAAGTACGACGTACGGTACCATGTACACGTACGGGCGCCGCATGTACATGTTCATCGTACAAGACCAGGTTTTTCTGTGACACATCTCGTTCACATAATGATACAGAAAGGGGGAAAGGAAAACTTTTAATCATTTCACAAAACCCTACTGTGAATATATCTCGATATTTAAATGAACATTGCAAGATATCTGCAATGATTCGTTGGACATTAATTTTGTGCGTAAACTTTGAGAATGGAAGAATTACTTCTCTCTTTAAAAACAACTTATTTTATTCGTCTTTATTCATGCTTTCTTTAAAAAAAAATTATTTTACGAATGTAAATTTATTAATTTTATGTACATATTATGCATATTAAATTGATCCCTGCTTTTCTTTTCAATCATTGTTTTAATTTGAAAATAGTTAAGAAGTTTTTTTTTTAAATACCTCCCTATAATATCTAAAAGGACTGATGATGCGACCGGAAGAACTAATTACTTAACAGTTCAATTCCGTATTCACTTTCATGCATTTCTATTTCTATTGAAATTCTATTTTTTTATGATGTTCATTTATGATAACAGACCGTCACTAAAATGATTGTATTGTATGGTATACCGAGTGCGGATCCCAGGTGCGTAAGCAGCGCTACTTGCAACCGCGCTTGCAGCATAGCTACTTGCATTGGAGATATGAAGACACCATCAAACGAATGTCGTTCATTGTCCAATCACAAAATGGCAACAAGGCTACGACTATTGCGCAGTACATACAGAAAAAAACATCGATGTTTCGTCCCAAATAATGTCAAAATTAGACACTTTAGAAATATGTTTTATTATCATAAATGAGAGGCAATGACGGGATATGATGTTTTCTTTAGGAAATAAATGAGAAAGGGGTATAATTTATATGCTAAGGTGTGTTTTAGGGGAATTTTCGCCAACATTTTTGCAATGCGGGATGAATTTATTCGCGTATCGAAGACTTTTAAAAGCCTTCAATAAAAGCGAAACGCAGTTTTTCAGAAGAAATCTTTATGTTGATACCATTATTCAGTTATGAAAATAGCCAAATCATACTTTTTCTTGGTCGGGTCGACATTTTAAAATAAAATATAGACGTTGAAAGTCAGACTACAATTCCAAAGCTTCGCTGAGAATTCGGGCTGCTGCATCGCTGGTTTACGATCTAGTATCCCACTAATACATGCAAACTGGCGCGCGGGTACCAACTGGCCTAGCGCCGCGTGTGTTGTGTACACAAAAGCGCCGTACAACGTGTACACATGTACATGTACATTGTACATGTGTACGTACGTAAAACCATCGCATTCGGGACGATCGCAAGACATTGAAAAAAAATGCATAAAATGCAAAACAGATTACATAGAAATAAAGAACCATCTATATCTGTCTTTAGATGAAAACACTCACTGTGGACAAAATAAACACACAATCCGAAATTCACAAATGTTTAGTGTACATGTACAGTGAGTGAGTGTTGTACAGCATATTAAAGCAGCACAATCCAAAACCAAGCATGAATTTGCCATCAGTATAGCTAGACACTCTATCCTCTTAATTTTCTGGGGGAAGTTGCTGACAATTAATTGGATCTATAGCTTAAACAAAACAATAACAAATAGGTTTTTGTTTGGCAATAAACGCATTCTTTATTTCACAACCAATCCATATCATTTAAAAAAAAAAGTTTCATTTACAGAAGTGAAACTTCACAACAGCCATATTTTACAAGTAAATAAAGTGCACATGTAATGCAGGCATGAACTCAACTAGTGAAATCAGGTGTGGCAATTTATAAAACTATGAAAAGTCTGAAAAATTAAGTAGGGTAGTTGCAGTTGATTAAGAGAAAGTGATTCAAAAATTCAACTTTATGAAAGGGCAAATGGATTTAAGCATACCCTCACACCTGAAGACAGTAAAGGTTTTTTTTATATTTATTTATTATTAATACTTTGTTGGAGAAAGGAGCTTGCAGTTCAACTGCACTATTTCATAAGTGGTGGTGATGGCAATTTCAGGTTTCAAATTTTCGCTTAATTAAAATTTCACATACGTACGTGTACACATACCTGGATGACCTGCCCCCCCCCCCCCTCAGATTTACAAAGCACTACATCGCTTCACAATTTGATGCAAACACAGTCCACTGTGAAGTTCTTTTCCAGTGTGAATGCATCATACATCGTCAATTTTGTTAAATATTTTAGAAAAGTTTTCACAAGTACAATCGACGACTCTTTGTTGACTTTTCGACGACTACTGTTCTTTGAATAAATACATAACATGAAAATACATGAACATCTACATGTAGTCACCTTTTGTCCTTTGAATACACTACGACGTGTCGCACTTACAGCATATTTTGTAAAATGAATCACAGGATGCGTCATCCTAGGGATACAACGATGCATCGTAGGTTACAATAAGTTTCATGAAATCAGGTACAGATTGTCATCGTCACTACGAACGACACTCTCGCACCCGTGTGTGCGCTGTACGCGCGCGTGTTTACAGAACCGGGATATTTTGGGTTTTACGAACTGATATCCGCCACAGTGCGGCACTTTTAGAGTGACCCCGTACATTTTTGTTTTCACGAACTGACACCCAAGCATGATGCGGCAATATCCGTGTACTTGTGCGATTATACATGTACACATTTTTCATTAAAAAGCGATTTAATTGGTAAAATTAAGATCAGTGTCAGTTCGTGAAACCGAAAATGCATGGGTGCGCTCTAAAAGTGTTGCACTGTGGGGGATGTCAGTTTGTGAAACCCAAAATATCCCGAATCTGTAAATACTCAAGTGTGCGCAAGTGTCAGTTTGTGGTGACATTGACAAGATATATACCATCTGAAATGGCAATAAGGACAAAACAGAAACTGTCCTGATCAAAGATTACCTCCAGTTATCTCCTAAATTCCCAAACTATCTCAATTCTCTCAACCCCCCCCCCCCCCCCCCCCCCCGGCAGTAAGATATTCATTATGAAATGTTTACGTCAACTATGTTATTCAAGCATATGGGACAGGGAGGCAGCGAACAGACTACACCTACCACTCCCAATTCAGATCACACTAAAAGTATTTGTACATGTACTCCACACCATGGACTATTTAGAAAGGTTCAGAGTGGGGGTTGGGCTGTTTGAATGAACATGGCCATGTCATGGCATGGTCAGGAACTGATACGGAGTTCAATCGCAATGGGTGGGTAGTACAGATCAGATGCGGAGGAATCCAAAGCTTGTCCATTATACGCGGCCATGCATGTCGTTGCCATCTTCAATCCACAAATAGGAAGAAACTCTTCAAAACCTGAAAGCACAACAAGAATATAACAAATGGAACAAAGTCAAAGGGATACTTTGAGATGCATGGTGACAGCAAATACACCAGTCCTTTTCTGGTGTTGACGTCAATTTGAACATGTGCTCATTAGGTTAAATGTGACGTAAAAAAAATGAAAAGGACAGGTAAAAGGAAGCGTCTCAAAAGTCTCTGTTGAAAATTATTGCCAGGTTATTTTCAAGATTGTTGTCTGTGCCTTTGCTGGGATTTTTCTTGCATTGAATATGAGTGTTAAAAACTATAGAAGATAAGAAAGTTTCATATTTTATCTTTTTCTATAGGCACAGACATACATGTACAATGTACATGTAAACATGTACTTGTACATGATGTATGTACATACATGCCATGATCAATTTCTAAGTAAAATAATATCAAGATGCTCACCGATGAAAATTGTCAAATTTTCTGAAGGTATCCTTCGTCAGGGCAGGGTACGTCATCTGCGTGTCATGGTGGAATGCCGTACACTCCGCATAAGAAGAACTGTAGGCAAACCTCCTCCACAGCGTCCGAGAGACAACCAATAGGTCTAGATGGCAAATTAAAGTACACATTCAAGTTCATGTACAGTTACGTGACGTTTGTGTTTGTACACAACGAGAACAAGAGCATGCATTACATGGGTTTCGAGTAAACTCCGTACCCAACAACCACTGTTACCGACTCGGTCCCTAACAGGCGGGTCTGACCGTCTGAGACAGCATGGCCAACTCAGTTCCACTTCCAGGTCAACTTGGTCCCAGGTACAAATGTATAAAAGTCGGTCCAATGTCAACTAAGGGGGTAAGTCTCAAGTCATTTTAGTCCCAGGTCAAATTTGAAATTAATGGAAAAAATATTCTACAATTTGTAGAATATTTTTTCCATTAATTTCAAATTACAAAAAAAAAAGTACAATTATATGACTGAGTGAGGGCAAAAAAGAAATAGCCTAATGTATTGACGGCCCTGGCAATGTAACCTACATGTAGGGCCTACATGTCAAATCCTTTGTTTACGCATTTAGAACATACATGTACAGTACACAGTTTCCTTGAGAAGTTTTCAAGAACAATGTCAGGCTCCTGCCTGCAAAGAATGACCTCCATTCCTCCATCATCATTCATGTTCCTGCATGATGCATGCCATTGCCAGCAAATCCTGACCACGCTGACTAAAATTTACATGAAATTTAAAAATCATAATGAAATTGGAGGATTCAGGACTGTTACTGTTAGGATTAAGGAATGCATTGTGATTATTTATTACGAATACGATTTTCTGGGTAATTGCAACTAGCAAGGCACACTGGGCAGAAATATTTCTTAGATGAAAGTCTTCTACATACACGAGTCGTTGCGTCGTCCAAAAGTGCGTGCTATGGGATAGCTCAAGGCGCCTACACTACGACTGTTTCATGTACGACATTACTGTAATAACTTCCTGTCATGGCGCGGCGTACGTACACAAAATCCTTGTGTCGCAGGCTAAAAACAAGGAAAAACTACAAAAACTACATCTTCTGAGCAGAGTAAATACATAATCTATAGGCTTACCTTTGAGATTTCCGTCTGAATCTCCGAAATCATGCCAAAACATGGCCACGAAGGTCCCCACTCGTCACGCCATGACACATGTACACTTCGTACGTTGCGACTTGACGAATTCCTGTTTTATTCACCCTCAATATTGGCTAAAATCTCACGAAAGCATGTCGACCCAAACCTTTTGTCCATATCAACGCGAACCTAGATAACTCATTTATTGATAGATTGACCAAGTAGGCTATGCGTCACAAAACTGCATTTTACTTTATAAATGATGTTTTCTCGAAGTGGAAATGACGGCACGAAAACGCTAAATCGTACTAGTCCGAGTAGCTTGGACCCAACTTATCGCCTTTTTTAACATTTGGACATGGTCTGGCGATAGTGGGGTCTAATACCGCGACCTGGACATGCAACATCATCCTGTCACTGTCCCAAAAACCAACATTTCCAACAAAAAACATCAGATTTCACCTTCAAAACGGCCTCCAAATTACTAGATATGCCACCTAAGGTACAAGTAGACATCGATAATTAAGATGGTTGTACTGAAGTTTACTTACGATCCGGAAAAAACTGAAATTTTCCGTTCATTTCGGAGAGCTCGTGCTCCCCTCGCGATCTTGAACACGTTAAATTTCCGATCGTGTTTAATGTTTGAACGGCGCGATTTCCTCTACATGCCCAGCGAACATTCGATGGTCCCCGTATCCCGAGTGCGATTCCGTTACCGAGCGCGCGCGACGCATCATTATGATAATGATAGACTGGATCACGTTTGTAAACACATGTGCATTTCAAACGATAATAGGGAGTCGGGAACTAGCGCAGCTTTTATGGCGGGTACCAGTTCAAGCTGGTTCCCGATTCCCTTTTACCGTTGGAAATGCACATGTACAGTGTATGTGTTTACAAACGTGACTCATTATGTTGGTTTTTGGGACAGTGACAGGATGATGTTGTCCAGGTCGCGGTATTAGCTTGGACCCCACTATCGCCAGACCATGTCCAAATGTTAAAAAAGGCGATAAGTTGGGTCCAAGTTACTCGGACTAAAATCGTACCAGGTCACAAGTCACACGCTGCATAAAAAACACACATTATCATAATTTGTGCACGCTAGATGGCAACTGTCGACCGTACATAGCTTCATTGATGGTTTGTAAAGCCTTATTTGTTAATCTGTTGCATATTCATTTTAATAAACCAATCAATTTTTATATCTTTCGCGGGGTATTTAAATCCACCAACGAAACAAAGGGATCGCTAGCGCTGTGCGTAAGGTTTATTTACATCGCGCTAGGTTGTCACGTGGTATTACCACTAACTCCATCTCGCCAACAGAGGGCGTACTTTTTATGCGTGAAACTGCCGGTGTAGCGTGAATATCCGACTCCATGAAATGTGGACTCATTGGTAGTACTGCGCACGCGTGAGTACGATACTATGCTATTTTTAGGATCGTTTCGTGAGAGTGAGCTGTCACGTGCGAGGGATCAACCAATAATAGGGAAATAGGGGTCCGATTTTCATAGGAGTCGGATTTTCATGTGACACCGTGATGATGGTTAGTCACTTCAATTATCTCTTCTAAAAATATCCTCCAAGCCATGATGGTTTTCATTTCAATAATCCCTTCTTAAAATATCCTCCTAGCCGTGATGATAAGTTTACTCAATTATCCCGTTAAAAAAAAACCCTCCTAGCCGTGGTGATTAGCCTCCTCAATCATCCCTTTTAACCCTAAAGGGGCCGGGTTATTTTGACCATCTCTCAGCCGGGGGGGGGGGGGCGGATTCGGCCCCCCCCCTAAGATCTCGGCCATCGAGAGACGAAAAATTTTGAAACTCAATACATGCATAGAGCAACTTTTCCTTGACATACCCAAGAAATTTCATGACTATAGGTCAAAGGGGTTTGGAATTATGGCTAATTAATTATTCATATGTACGAATGGCAATTCTGCTCTGTGTACACGACGTATATGCAAAAATTCAGTTTTCACGGCGCGTAGCGCCGGAAATTTTTTCGCTACGCGGCAACCCGTGGTCCGATTTTTATGTTTTTGGTATCAAAAGATGCGCAAAGCTCGAGGCTAAAAAGTCATAACAGCTCGGGTCGCGAAAATTTTTTTTTTAGAGGCTATCACGGAAAATGTTGAAGGGGGGGGGGGGGGCGGATTCCGCCGCCCCGGCCCTTTTAGGGTTAAAAACAAATATCCTCCAAGCAATGATGGTTAGTCTCCTCAATGATCACATCTAAAAATTATCTTCCAAGCATTGATGGTTTGTCTGTTCAATAATCTCGTCTGAAAAATATTCTCCAAGCCGTGATGTTTTTTATTTCAATAAGCCCTTCTAAATAAAAATATCCTCCTAGCCATGATGAGAAGTCTCCTCAATTATTCCTTCTCAAAAATCTCCTCGTCTCCTCAAAAATCTTCCAAGCCGTGATGGATTGTGTGTTCAATAATCTCTTCTAAAAATATCTTCCTAGCCATGATGGTTTGTCTCCTCAGTTATCCCTTCTAAAAATATCCTCCTAGCCATGATGGTTAGTCTCCTCAATTATCCCTTCTAAAAATATCCTCCTAGCCGTTATGATTAGTATCCTCAATTATCCCTTCTCAAAAAATATCTTGCAAGCCGTGATGGAAAGTGTGTTCAATAATCTCTTCTGAAACATATCCTCCAAGTCAAGATGACAAGTCTCCTCAATTATACCTTCAAAAACTATCCTCCTAGCCATGATGGTTTTCATTCAATAATCCCTCTGAAAAATATCCCCCTAACCGTGATGAATAGCCTCCTTAATTATCCCTTCTAAAAAAATATCCTCCAAGCATTGATAGTTAGTCTCCTCCATTATCCCTTCAAAAATATCTTCCTAGCCGTGATGATGTCTCCTCAATTATCCCTTCAAAAGAATATCCTCCGAGCCATGATGGTTTTCATTCATTAATCCCTCTGAAAAATATCCTCCTAACCGTAATTATAAGTCTCCTCAATTATCCCTTCTAAAAAAATATCCTCCAAGCAATGATAGTTAGTCTGCCCCCATTATCCCTTCAAAAATATCTTCCTAGCCGTGATGATTAATCTCCTCAATTATCCCTTTAAAAAAATATCCCCCTAGTCATGATGGTTAGTCTCCTCATTTAGCCCTTCTAAAAAATATCCTCCAGGCCATGATGGTTAGTCTCCTCAATGATCACATCTAAAACATATCTTCCAAGCCGTTTGTCAATAAGCTTGTGGCATTGAAATCGTTTGTAATTTGATACCTGATGGCGTCATTATGACGTCAGAGTTATATACTCACTTCGGATTCAGGGTTGGTGTTTGTTCAAGGTTTCCAGTTTATACCATGTACCGTTGAGGAAAAAAAATCGTACAGAATTATTGCCTGGAATAAAAAAGAAGGAAGAAAAAAAAGGAAAGAAAGGGATAAAATAATTCTTACCATTTCAAAACCGTGATCGGGTCGTGCACGATCACACAAACATATCAGGTTTTTGTTGTTCGGAATGAGGAATTCCTGTCTGACAATATTTCCGCTACTACTTCCATTTTGGACTCTCAAAACGAAATTGTCGAAATAATGACTGTTTTCTTTACTTCTTCGCAAACTCATTTGGATTCTTGTCGCTATGGATAGCGAACTAAATTTTTGGAATATGTTATTGTCAACAACACGGTTGTTCAGGTTCGACTGGTTTTGATCACATTTTGGCTGCATTTTTTTGTCAAGGGTACAGTACATCAGGTTCCCTGCTGTGATTCAGAACAGTTGAAATTGATCGTGATTCGTACTTATTCCAAATACTTTACGCACTTGTGATTTACATCAGGTTCCCCGCTGCGATGTTACTTTATTATTTTAATTGTCAAACATGAAATCCTGGTTCGATGTACTCACACTTTTTCCGGCAATGAGAGTCTTTTGGACATTTTTTGACATGAGATCGATTAATTAAAGCAGAATATGTATGCTCCTTAATTGTGACTCCTGCAACTTCAAATTCGAGCAATGTTGAACAATTAAGAGGAACATAGGATCTTTTGCCCTTGGTGTTTTTTTTGGTTAAAAGCAACAAAATTGATCAAAATCTGAAGTATAGGGTGTATATCTAGTAACCTGTTGCAATTTCAGCGCATTCTATACTTTTGAGAAAAGAGAAAACGCAGTTTCGAAGGTTTGCGGAAATGTAATCGGGAAAAATGGACCGCTCGACTAAACTAAATAAAACTAAATGCTTGGGGAACTCACTTAAGAAAACCTAATTAATCTAATGATCGAATAGGGTAAAGACGCGAGGAAATGCAAGAAGTGGGACAGTGACTCAAAATGTAGGTTTCCTCAATAAACAAAAATAAGAAAAATAACTTTATTGATACTAAAGCAATGACCAAAAGCCAAACCAGTGTAACCTTAACCAAGACCAACACACAGTAAAACTATTAAACGAAACCCAGAATTGAAACAATTAAAAACACAGTGCCAAAGAAAGTTATAGATTAAAATCAAAATGGCTTTCAAACCTGTTAAATAAAACAACAAAAAATACAATCGATTAAAATACACTTCTTCAATCAAATTTAAGAAACACAAAGTCTTAAACATTGAATCCAAACTAAGTTTATAACAAAAGATACTTCCAAGTCCGATCTTTAAAATACAACTTTAGAATGAAATTCCAAAGAAATAAAGGAATAATATGATTGTAAACAACTGATTCTTCTCAGAACCACACAACTCAAAATTATTCACATGGTGTTACCGCAAACCTTATATTCTTTTTTACATGTTTACCATGCAAACATACAAGTCTCATTTAAGAGTAAACGTATGCTCAACTGGATGCCGTTGCTTACACACGCAAAAGAGTGTGCCAGCCGGCACACTATTTTAAAAAACAGCAAAGCCTTCATTTTACTTATTTTATTTTACGCTTAATCAGGCGGAATAATTTTACAGGTTGTTTGAAACCAGTTCTATTGTGAAGTACACTTTCTGTACATTTGCAAGTGATCTTAACTAATTTTAACTTGTTTTTTTGTATAGATGTTTCTCAAAAAAAAAACAACCACCGCCCGCACGTGAGTCTAGTCAGGGCCGTTGATGAACGAATTCCTACCGGAATTATTACTCGTTTTTGTTGATATTATTTTCAGCCAGCAATCTGCTCGAGTGCTGAGGATTCCTTTCGTGAGAGAATTCAAGAACGTTACACTGATTCAGGTGAGTATCTGCTATTTGACATATCCTCACACAACTGTCAGAATTGAGCGTTTATTTAATGGCAGACTTTATCTTTTTGTGTGCATCGATAAACGTTGTTGTCAAAACTGTAACAGAGAACGTCCTTGAAGGAAATTTATCATTAATATAGGTTTTCC